CAGGTGCGCAAGACCTTGGTAAGCATGAGAACAGAATTTATATTTGCAGGGCAAAATACATGGGCAGGAAACATCATGAAATTTCGGTCTTTATTTTTACCGGCTCTTAAATCAGAAAACTTTTCAAAAATTTCACACTTCCGCACGTGAGATCTAGGAGTACATGAAAGCTAGATTCGAGCTTCCGAGGTCGCACATGGACAAGAAAAATCTCGAAATTTTAGATTTCTAACCTTTCTTCTTCCTGAGTTAGTGACTGTTCTGTCAAATCTTCCAAATGTACATGAAATCCACCTACATGTGAAAGCCAAATACGAATTCTTTGGATCGCACGTAAACCAAGGACATTCTCCTACAACTTCAGCTTCCTAACTTTTCTGGTTCCGACGTTAGTTATTTCCCAGCCAAAATCTTCATGTGATCTTATGTGAGACCTAGGCTTATGCGAAAGCAAAATTTAAATCTGCAGGGCCGAAATAGGCAAGGAACATTCCCGTAAAATTCCAGCTTCCTGGTTTTTCTAATTCCTGAGCTGGAAACCCCAAACAAAATGCACTCGAACCGCAGAGACACACAAATACAAAAAGGGTGACAAATACACACACGGGGTCTCATCAATATGAATTTTGCATGCAGCTGTTGCAAGACAAAATCATAATTGGCTGAAATTGAGTTTTAATTTATGTATGAAGATACAGAAATCCTTGAAGGCTGTAATCAGGTATTTAGTGTGTACTAGCTGGTCAATAAAGGTTTCAAAATTTTGAGTTCTTAAATTTGTTGATTGGGTATCGAAAAGTGCTTGAATTAAATCGGAATCGTAAATCGGATAGATCGGAATGGAAAAAGAAGTATAAACTGATCTTAGATTTGCACTCCTTCACATTATGCGTGTTCTGAGAATTCTAACTTTTTAGCCTTACGTTTCTGGACCTGAATCGTTTAAAAATTTAAGGCTACAAGGCCGAAGTACCGTACAGGCATTCTGCACCAACAAAATTTTGCTGTAATGCATTTGATTCACTAAAAACTTGTGAAAAATAAAAAATCCTTGCTTTTTACTTATCAAAATTAATAAAGTTAGTGAGCTACTGAAATTAGGGAAGAAGAAAACGAAGAACTTGTTCTGTTATGAGGTGTGAAAAATGAATTGTGTCGGATATGGTGTTTGTGTGGCAGCTGGAATATATGCATGTGCAGAAGGTAAATGAAATTTCATATCACCATATGAATTTGATTGCGGCTTCAGCATTTCATAAAAGGGTGCTTCTGGAGCACTACGCTTCTTATTTTTATTTTTCGCGCTAATTTTGCGGTTTCTCGTCTGAATACCATCCTTTTTCATGGATATTGGCCTCGAAATCTGCAAATTTGAACATATTTAATGAGCTCAACAAAGGGAAGAGAAAAAATTTCACCAGTGAAATATGCAGAAGCCATTTATATTCACCGCGCAGTTAATGTCAAATAACCGCATCCTGGTTTTTGGGAACAACCTGGCTTTTTTTTGATTTTCTGGAAAAAATAACCTGGTTTTGGGAATAACCTGGCTTCTGGAAAAAAATCCTGGTTTTCTTGGGAATAAATCGACAAACAGCAGACAGTTTTAGTTGTAAGTAATCACAATGAGCAACCGCAAAAGCGTTTCTGGTAAACTGCTTCAAAGAAAGACTAGCAAGAAGAAAGAGTAATAAGCACAACAAAAAGTTGGGTCGTAATGAAAGTGGAATTGTTTTTCGGGCAAACATACTAACTAACAATTTTTGATGCTTAAAAGACACTTTATGAATTGCTGAGGGAAAACTTTCAAGAAAAACTTTGCTTTAGTGATCGATACCAGGAAGT